CCCCCTCGGCCAATCGCCGCCCGCCGCCTGCAGCGAGGGGCGGGGCGACGCCGCGCGCGGGGGCGGGCACCGTTGCCACGGAGACGCCGCCCGCGGCCCGGCCCGGCCCTGGATTCGCGGCCCGGCGGCGGCCCCGATCCCGAACTCGGCCGCGACAACCGGTGCGGCTCCGGCCCGCGCCGCCCGCCACCCCCAGCGCAGCTCCGCCCCGCGCTCCCGGCCCACGGCGCCCCGCTACCGCGACGATCCCCGCTCCGCGAGTCTCACCTGCAGGCACGGCCTCGCGCAGCGCCCGTCCTCCATTCCCCACGGCGGCGTCGGGACGCGGCTCGGAGCGACGCGAGGCCCGGCGGAAATGAGCTTAACCGCAGCGCTAATCTGGCGGCGCCCGGGGGACACCGGGACGGCGCGGGGGCGGTGCCGACCGCGACGCGAGCGCTCGGCGGCGCTTGGGCCTCGCGGGCCACCGTCCTGCCCTCATCCGAGATGGAGGCGGCCGCCTCGCGCCTCGCCCGCGCCCGACTTCCGGTGTCCGCCCAGCGGGCGCTTCCGGTTTCTGTGGGCGGTTCCGTTCCGCCGCGTTTCGCTTTCGTTTGGCGGCGGCTCCGCCCCGTGCGGCCATGGGGGACGTTCCGGGGCCGGGGCTCGGCTTCGCTCCCTTTGCGGTGCCGGGTTGGTTCTGCCCCGAATCCGACGGGGAGGAGGTGGAGGAGGAAGAGCGCTTTATCCCGACCTACGGCCGCCCCCCGTTCGCTTTCTATGGGCCGTACGGCGATCCGCTGCTCGTCCCTCCGCGCGGCTTTACGGACGCGGATGCGGAGCCGCGCGGGCTGAGCGCGGCGCGGAGGCACCGCATTACGGCCGAGGTGAGCGCCGCCCCGGCCCGTCCCACCGCGGCCTTCGCTCCCTCCGCTCCCACCCGCTCTGCTCCCGCAGCCCCGGCTCCGCTCGGCCGCCCTTCGGCTCCGTTCTGCCGCTCCGGGGCTGAGCCGTCCCTGCTTCTACCTTCCTGCGGAGCCCCGCTGCGATTCCTCCCGGCTCCGGGGCTCCCACAGGTGTCCCCGCCACCCCGCGGCCGCCCTGCTGCTGGCTGCCTGTCCCAGCCCTGCCCTGCCCTGCAGCGCGGCCCGGGGGCTCGCAATCATTCACCAGCAGCTCTCCTTCCCCAGGAAGCGGAGAAGAACGCAATGGAGCTGCTGGCCGAAGAGGAGAGAATGAAGAAGAAAGCAGAGAGGAAGAAACTGAAGAAGAAGGTGGGTGTGTGATGCCATGACGCTCACACAGCTCTCCTGGGGCGCGTGCGGCCCTTCCTGCTGAGCTGTGCCCTCTGTTTATCCTCTGCCTGCAGCTCATCGGGCTGTGAGCTGCGCCCCAGGGTGTGTGCTGGGTTTGTTCTGCACGGCGCTGGTGCCAGCTCACCATTTCTTTATTTCTGGTTTCCAGAAGCAAAAAGACCGGAGGAAACAAGAGAAGTTGGAACAGGAGCTGAGGAGCAGGCAGGCGGCCGCGTCGGTGAGCAGCTTTGCGCCTCCCTGGGGCGGGCAGCCCTGGGCACAGCACTGGGCAGCAGCCTTTTGGAGATTGGGGGGCTCCTACAAACCCCCAGACGCCAGGGGCCGGGCTGCCAGGAGCAGAGCCCACCCTCTGCCCTCATCTGCCTGCAGAGCACCGCATCCCCGGCCAGTGCTGCGGGTGCTGCTCATGGGGACGCCAGCAGTGCTGAGGAGGAGAGCGGCTGCCTGGCCTCCAGCCCCCCTCAGCGCCTCCAGGATCGTGCAGAGGAGGGAGTGGGGGATCTGGAAGGGATAGAGGTGAGAGTGGGAAGCCTCGTGCTGGGTCAGCCCTGCACAGTGACGGCGGTGTGTCTGAGTCCCTGAGCGTCCCCTGAGTGCCGCCAGCCCCACAGCCAGGGCCTGCAGCTCCGCACGGCTCCCATCCCTCATTTTCCTAGGATGAACTGGATTTGAGTTGCACCTTTGTCATCAAAGCATGGCAGAAAGCGGGCGTGAAGCCGCCAGCACCTGCAAAGGATAAATCAGTCAGAACTGATGCTGCAGAGCCCAACAGGAGGCTGCAGGAGGGGGTGAGTTGGATCCCGGTCCTCACAGGGGCATCTCCACACGTGAGAAGTGTGCTGCTCAGTGCAGATGGTCTGCAGGGCCCCTGGCACAAGGAGCCTTAGATGGCGTGGGGCAGACCAAGGCTTGGAAAGGGGAGATGACAGCAGGACGAGGGGAAATGGGTTGAAGTTGAGGGAGGGCAGCTTGGGGTTGGGTGTCAGGGGAAGTTGTGTGCTGTGAGAGCGGGGAGGGGCTGGAACAGCTACAGAGAGGCTGTGATGCCCCGTCCATCCCTGGAGGTGTTGAAGGTCGGATGGGGCCCTGGGCAGCCTGGGCTGCTGTGCAATGGGGAGGTTGGTGGCCCTGCATTGGTGGGGGGTTGGAGCTTCATGATCCTTGAGGTCCCGTCCAACCCTGGCCATTCTGTGATTGTAGAGGGGTTCAAGAGCCTGGTGCTGGGCACAGGGATCCCCAGCTGCAGCTTCCCCTGTGGCTGGCACAGGGCGGTGATCCCAGGGCTGGGGTTTGGTGCCCAGGTGGTGATGGGGACGCTGCGTTCATCCCACGCTGCAGGCTGGGGGCTGTGGCAGCTCCTCTGTAGCCTCTCATGGGTTTATGGAGCTGGGGGGGGGGGGGAGCATCCTCTGCCCTCTCCCAGCAGCTCTGCAAGCTAAGGCACAGCAGGGTGTAATGCCCACGCACCAGGGACAGCAGCTGTGCCTGAACCTCTGCTCCTGAGCCCCCACTGCCCTGTATGGCTGCCCCACAGGCACCCGAGCCCCCACTGCCCCGCACGGCTGCCCCACAGGCACCCAAGCCCGAGCCTGCGCTCTTGGACACAAACATGTTGGAGCAGAGCCTGATTCTTGCAGGTCAGTGCCTCGGGCATCCCTGGGCAGCAGGAGGCAGAGGGGGGGCTCCGCTCTGCTGCGTGCCAGCTTCGGGGGTAGGTTTGCCCCCAGGAGGGCTGTGCTGGACACGCATCCTGGTGCTTATCACCATCTGTGGGGCTGCACGGCTCCTGCCTGTCCCCACAACGCCTTTCCCACACAGCTGGGCGCAGTGCAGAGCTGCACCATCCCCCTGCAGAGCCCTGCACTCCCCGGCTGCGTTGCTGCATGCCAGTCAGCAGCGGGCGATGCTCTCCCTGCAGGCTGTGGCTACCAGGCTGCCGTGCAGGGCCGCTACACAGAGGCTGTGCAGGCCTTCACCGAGGCCATAAAGCTGAACCCCAGGGAGCACCGGTGAGCGGTGGGCTGCGGGGGGGCCTGGGCAGCGCCCTGAGCCCGCACTGCTGACCCATGTTGTCCCCCAGGCT